TTTTCCTATGTGGTCATACGTTTTCATATATATATATATATGTCGTACCTAGTAGCCAGAACGCACTTCTCAGCCAACTATGCGAGGCCCGATTTGCCTAATAAGCCAAGTTTTCATGAATTAATTGGTTTTCGACAACCTAACCTACCTAACCTAACCTAACCTAACTTTTTCGGCTACCTAACCTAACCTAATCTATAAAGATAGGTTAGGTTAGGTTAGGTAGGGTTGGTTAGGTTCGGTCATATATCTACGTTAATTTTAACTCCAATAAAAAAAATTGACCACATACATAATGAAATTGTTAGCTTTATCATTTCATAAGAAAAAATTATAGAAAATATATTAATTCAGGAAAACTTGGCTTATTAGGCAAATCGGGACTTGCATAGTAATCCAAAAAGTGCGTTCTGGCTACTAGGTACGACATATATATATATATATATATATATATATATATATATATATATATATATATATATATATATATATATATATATATATATATATATATATATATATATATATATATATATTTGTAATGCAAGTTACAATATACAAAACATCAAACATATATTATGTAAAAAAAATGTGTGATGTGGGCGTTTGAAGAGAATTATTCAGAGCGGTTTTGGTGCTACCATGAAAAGGTTAACACTTGATTGTGTTGCGTAAAGATGGCAGCATGTATTGGGTCAAGGAATCTGTTTTCACAACCAGAGGACTTATCTCACTATTGTAGGATGTGGAAACATTTTTCTAGACACCTGGACATAGGTAGCTTTATGCACTAAATGATAAAAAACGAAAAGAAGACCACAACCGCTCTCAGCAGTTAAAGGGTTAACATTCCTCCTAGTCCGCTCTATGTAAACACACTGTAGTGTAAGCTGAAGCGGCCGCCCCAACAACACAGCATGATTCCCAAGAGTACCCTACAACTCACGGAGAATAGGCAGTTAGTCTCATCTCCCGATCAAGCAATAACATTGTCAGTTGACCAAACCACACACTAGAAAGTGAAGGGACGACGACGTTTCGGTCCGTCCTGGACCATTCTCAAGTCGATTGTCTTGAGTCGATTCGCAAGTCACAATCGACTTGAGAATAGTCCAGGACGGACCGAAACGTCGTCGTCCCTTCACTTTCTAGTGTGTGGTTTGGTAAACATATTTCAGCCACGTTATTGTGACTCCTCGTCTGCACATTGTCAGTGTCTCTCATGTCCTGCTTAAGCTTGTACATACTTAACAATCAACTCGTCCTCTCACTTAAAACGTCACATATTTTAGGAAACCGATCAATCCGTTAAAATGTCAACATATTAGTAAAAATTTAATCACCGTAATATTGACGCTTTCTATGCATCGGCCTCAATAAGTTAGGTTCACCATCTGCCGTAACTTTGATAGGAACACGATGTACTTAGTTTACCGTACTTTTGTTAACTACAAAATACTTTCAATTTCGCAATATTTAATGCAATAACTGTGTTATCTAGCAGGAAATGCTATGCGTATTTATAAGTGGCTTTGCATAAAGAAAATAACATATTTAATTAATATGGATACATCAATAATAGTTATCTACTGGACAAATGTTAATGTACTGTATAAATGAACTCGCGTCTTTGCTGTCTCAGTTGTGTGTTACAGCCAGATAGTCTTCCCTTATTTTTCCTTCCTTCTCAATTCCTTCCCCTTCCTTCAGATCTTGAGTTACAGGCCAGGTACGATATGGCCATATAATAGACAAGGGACAAATCTATTTATGTATGTATTTACTTATTAATATACAAGAAGGTACATTGTGTTTATGAGAGTACCTAACATTGGTGTTCTTATACTCTTGTAAATCCACTAACACGCCAAGCGTTTCGGGCAGGTCCTTCATCTATCATATAACTTTATTAGAGGTACATTGTAACAAAATTTGAGTTTAACATAACTCCATATAAATTGATGGAAATTATTACACTGGTGAAGTTGCATGTGTTAAGTAGTAATACTGGGGGAATGGGCAGCACAAGATACAGTGTGAGTTTGAAGCACAAGGTAGGAAACTATGAGGGTGAACTTAGGTACTTTTTGGTTTTACTTTTGAATAAGGCATAGATTGGACAACTTTTTAATTCATTAGGGAGTGAGATCCATAGACTGGGTCTTTTTATTTGCATGGAGTGTTTGCACAGATTTAATTTGACTCTGGGGATATCAAATATATATATTTATTTCTGGTGTGGTGCTCATGTAACAGTCAGCTGTACATAGGCATGATATATTCTTGTATCAAAGCAGGTATTGTGTATTGTTGAGAGTTATGTGGGTGGACGCGCGTGACCGCGTCAAATTAATAGTCGGTAGAGAGATTGACCTGCCCAGAAATTCGTGACCGGGTGTGAGTTTAACAGGGACACCAACCCTGTTGACCACGTGGTTACGTGAGGGTTCTGCTTGCACCTCATTCAACACAAGATTACGGTTGCACTGGCCTAGAGTAGTTTTTGAGACTTCCTTGAAGTTATGTAATATGAGACGTGAGTTGTTAGGAGAAGTGAGTAGAAGTGATTCATGTTAGATTACCATCCGGATTTATGAATATTCATGTACTTGTTTCCACGTTGGATTAGTAGGTGTGTGGCGTCAGGTCAAGAGGCGGCCATGCGATCGTTAAGGTGCTAACTACCCCTGTTCCTTATTCCTCAATTGTAGAAATTCATGTATTCTGTTATTATTTGCACTTGGCAGCTTACATTGTTAAAGTGCCTATGGAATCATCCATCATTTGTGTGTAAAAGTTCATTCCTTAGTTTTCCTAAGAGTATCTTAACTAGCCTATGTAATGAAGTGTGGCAATTAGTGTGGCAAGGGTGCAGGCCGTCGTGGTAGCGAGAGGGAGGTCAGGTTCTCAGAGTGAACGGGGTGGACACCAGGAGAGGTTGCAGGTCAACCTGAGGACAGCCACAACATCGGCTGAGGAGCAGACGATACGGTAAATGCTGTGTGAGTTCTTGTACATTTATAATTACATTTTCCCATTACCTCCCAGGATAGAATGTTTACGCGTTAGGGATTAATTAGTTTGCATTTATTTTAAATAGAGTGATTCAGTTGTGTTCCTGTGTAATTTTCATATATTTTTCTTCAATTATTCCGAGTCATAGATCCAACATGGCTTTGGACGTCTCCAATGTTCTTACGAGTATCTTTGAGTCAATATATTTCTCCTTGTCTTGAGTTAATTACTTTAAAAGGAATTCCATCCATCCTTTCTAGTTTTAAAATAGTAAAGTTTCCTGATACTCTGTACTAATTGTCTGGTCTTCTCCTGAGTCAATTAGCTTAATTACCCCGAATTTAGGAGATGTGGTGGCGGCGTTAATTATCTATTGTGGGTACCTGATCTTCCATCTGGCCTGTAGAACTGTAAGGATATTGTTTAACCTCAATTGGTCGTTCCCTCCCCTTACCCTGCTCATACTGTTTTTCCACTGCGAGGGTGGACTTCTCAGTTCTCTAGGGGATATTATTTTCAATCACTCATTGGAATTAGTGATCCACGCCCACGCCATATATATTATATGGCATGGGCGTGGATCACTGATGCCTCTGAGCTTCAGTAGTAGTCGGGGAAAGTCGAATATTCCAGTTTGGCAGCAGTAGTTACTTCTGGAATCTTTTCATATTAAGACTACTCAATAGCCCAGTCGATAGAGCTTCGGTCATACACGCATGGGGTCCGCGGTTCGAGTCTCCTATAGTCCAGATAACTGAAATGTTTATTCCTTAATTGTTATAAAAAGTGAGCAATAATCAACCAAGCCTGGTTGGCTTATTATGTGATCCTCCATCACTGACGGAGACATCTCAAGTAACACTAAACCTAAGTGCAGTAATTAATAACAATTAAGCACCTGCTCCATACTAATTATCAAGAGTAAATTAATTAATAATTAAGTCACCTCCAACCACGGAACAACCGTGGATATCTTCAAGAGAAAACTATATAGTTTTCTTCAAGAAGTGCCGGACCAACCGGGCTGTGGTGGGTATGTGGGCCTGCGGGCCGCTCCAAGTAATAGCCTGTTGGACCAAGCTCTCACAAGTCAAGCCTGGCCTCGGGCCGGGCTTGGGTAGTAGTAGAACTCCCAGAACCCCATCAAACAGGTATCCCACTGATGTCTCTGGTCTCTCATCATCCTTCACAGGTCACGGATCAGCTGTAGATCTGATCGTTTGGTAGAAATGACCTGAGAGGATCCTAATCCTATATGTTGGGTGGTGACAGCTATTCATATGTTCTTCCTAGATGTGGTCCTGGCATATTATTCCATCTACCCAGCACGGTGTCTCAATTTTTTTTACTACTGTGGGTTTTAAGCTGTGGTTGGCACCTACGGTGTATATAAGTAGCTGTTATGACCCAGGTATTTACCTGGGTCCTACATTAGTATCAGTCTGTTGCTGATATTACAGTTATACTATTGTACTGCAGTGTGTATCATATTGTATGAGAGTTGGTTAGTTGTACAGTAGCAGAGGTTACAATTATATATGTTATAAATGGGTGACCACAATACAGGCCACCATGGTTGTCTCAGGTGTAAGTGGGTGACCACAACACAGGCCACCATGGTTGTCTCAGGTGTAAGTGGGTGACCACAACACAGGCCACCATGGTTGTCTCAGGTGTAAGTGGGTGACCACAACACAGGCCACCGTGGTTGTCTCAAGTGTAAGTGGGTGACCACAACACAGGCCACCGTGGTTGTCTCAGGTGTAAGTGGGTGACCACAACACAGGCCACCGTGGTTGTCTCAGGTGTAAGTGGGTGACCACAACACAGGCCACCGTGGTTGTCTCAGGTGTAAGTGGGTGACCACAACACAGGCCACCGTGGTTGTCTCAGGTGTAAGTGGGTGACCACAACACAGGCCACCATGGTTGTAATAATAAGCAGGAGCAAGTGTTATGTAAGAATAAGATAATATAAAGACTTACCCTCGCTGGAAGAGGTCGACGTTGTAGAACTTGTGGATGTGCAGTGCCAGTTCGATGGTGGCCTGAAGCTCTCCCATGGTGCACCTGAGGTTGCCGCCTCCTACACGTCCTCCTCCTCCTCCTCCTCTCACCTCTCCCTCGCTCTTAACTTGCTTCTCTTCAGTATATAATGATGCGTTATGTGCACTCGTCGTGGCAGCTCTACACTCACACTACGCCTATTTATCCTTACACTTCACACTTATTTAAACTAATACTTGCACTCGAGGTATTTTTAATAGCTTGAAAATTTCCATTATATGTTTATTTTAGCTTGTTTCAGGATAATTACACCATTTTCCTTGTGCTTCCTTTGCCGACAATGACCTTAATCCTTTAGTCTGGATACTAAGACAGTTGTGTTGTCTGCCTCTGAGTGTGTGAGGTGTGTGCGAGTGGTGTGATCTACCAGCACACAACCAGGTCCTCACTATGGTAGTGGTCTCACCACTTGCTGCTCCTACACATTTGTCGTCCGGCAGACTTTACATCAATGTCATGGGGCGCCCCAAGAATGACCAGCTAAAGTCCGACTACGGGGTAGAAGTAGCCAGCTATACCTTAACCCATCAAACCATTCTAAATGTCACTCTAAATGTCAAAGGATGAGACTCTCCCACAAGAGAGCATCCTTCCTCTCGGTGGGGGCAAAGTTAGCGGGAGTAAGAGGTAGTGGGGCGACACAAGGAGATGGCAGCCCTGTGAGGAGAGAACCCTCTCGCCCTATGTCTCAGGGAGTGCACTTGTGTAGAGGACTGGTGGGCAGGTGCACTATCACACTAGTGCCTGCGGCCTCGGCCACTCCTCACACAATTCCTTGCCTTGTGATTGTTCCTTCCAACTTACACTCCAGATGACCAGCGCGGTCAACTGCCGGCAAGCTTCTCCGTTATTATACAAGATACAAAATGTCACCGCACTTACACAGCCACACTGCGGCACATACAATTTTCAAGTCCAGATAATACCCGCACACCACCTGTAAACCCGGGAAATAGCTGCACACCACTTATCAACACAGCAAATGACTGCACAGCACTTGTAAACCTGGCAAATAGCCGCACAGCGTGTGTAAACCCAGGAAATAGCTGCACATCACTTGTAAACCCGGCAAATAAACAACGCCTAAACAATGGGCAGAAATTGCCAACAACTTAGCTGCCCAATACTTGCCAGTTCAGAAATCTAATATGTTCAACACTTAAGCAGGTGACTGCAGCAGGTAGGCCTAGCCTGGCTGGCGTGCCCAGGTGAGCACGGAGGCCGGGATGGGGCGGGGGACGACGCTAACACACCAGCAACCCTCACTTGTTGCTCTTGGCCTATACCTCTCTGTGTTTATCTTGTGTCCTCTGCTACTACAAACTACCATTCATCACTCGTGTAACAATGAACCAGTAATGCCTCGTACATATATAGGCCTATATGTATATATTATTATATATACTGTCATGTGGAAAGGTGTGCCATAGGTCGCGGGCATTGGGTGATATGACAGGCGTGGTCGCTTTGGATACACGTCTTGTGTATCACATCCTTTATGAGATCATTGCGAGTGTGGTGACGGGAAGTGTCAGCGTGGCGTGGTGAGTGTGGTGGCGTGTGGTGCGTGTGGCGGCGGTGGTGGTGGTGGTGTCAGAACCTGAGCAGCAGGTGTCGGTGGGCCGACGCCCTCCCTCCGACACGGCCTTCCCATGTCCACCCAACCGCCCACATCTGCAACAAAAACAGTCATCAATATATTACAAAATAAGCATTTCATAAAATCACATTACGACATAAAAGAGAACAAACAAGGCATATGAAATTTCGAGGAATATAATTTTGATAAGATTTGAAGTCTCGAAATTGATGTCAGTTTTTCAGAATGCAACTTTGGAGTTAGTGCAGATAGATCACTGGTCCCAGTGTGCTTCCTTCTGGGTACCTTAATGGCATGACAATATATGCAGCTCTAATCCTGTCATTAGTATGACTACCAGTTGTCAGTGTAGATTTGATTCAATTCACAACGTCGCTTCTTGCAGGGTCGGCATTCGAGCCCCGATATTACACCAAGTAATTATGCACAGTTCCTTCCCTCCGTCCTCATATCCTAACAACCTAGTGCCTTGTCCTCGTTTATCCTTCCAAGAGTTATTGTAGTCACACTAGCTGAATCTTCCTTTTTTCCCCATAATAACCTTGAGATTCATATTTCATGTTTCTTTCGGCAACATGTTTGACATGGGTAACATCACATCATGGGGTTGGAACATGGGTAACAGAAAGCAATTCAAGAAATAAAGAAAAATCCTAAATATGTCTTCACATATGCGAAATCAAAAGCAAAAACCACTGCCAGTATTGGAACTATTCGTACTAGTGAAGGTCCATACACTGAGGATGACAAAGAAATTAGTGAAATCCTAAAAAAGCAGTATGAGGACATGTTTAGCACTCCAATAAACAGCATGAAAGAGGAAGTTCCGGTCAACTTTTTGCGTGACATCCAAACCCCTGTAAATATAACTGATATCAACACGAGCGTGGCAGTTTGAATGAGAAATTGACATTATGCCTATGCACTCAGCTCCGGGTCCAGATTCATGGAATTCAATATTTATAAAGAAATGCAAATTGCCAGTAGCACAGGCACTCAGTATAGTGTGGAACAGCTTGACCCGTGACTGTTCAACACGCTTCCACTACACATAAGGGGCATAACTGGCCGACCCCTCAAAATGTTCAAGAGAGAGAAATCGATAAGCACCTCTAAAGGATACCTGATCAACCAGGCTGTGATTCATACGTCAGGCTGCGAGCAGCCGCGTCCAACAGCCTGGTTAACCAGTCCAGCAACGAGGAGGCCTGGTCGACGACCGGGCCCAAAGATGTTAAGTACCGAAAACACCTCAAGGTAACCTCAAGGTAACGGGGCAGATACCAGATGCTCTTAAATCAGCAGACATAGTCCCTCTACACAAGGGAGGGAGCAAAGCATTGGCAAAGAATTATAGACCAGTTGCACTAACGTCCCACATAAAAATATTTGAGTGAGTGATCAGGAGTCAGGTCACCAGTTTCATGGAGACCAATGACCTCCACAATCCAGGCCAACATGCATTTAGAGCAGGAAGATCATGCCTCTCACAGCTACTTGACCACTACGACAAAGTCACTGAGGCATTATAAGAAAAAATGCAGATGTGGTATACACGGACTTCGCAAAGGCATTCGATAAATGTGACCATGGAGTGATAGCACACAAAATGAGGTCAATGGGAATAACTGGTAAAGTAGGACGGTGGATACTCAGTTTTCTGTCGAACAGAACACAAAGAGTAACGGTCAACCATATAAAATAGAGTCCAAGTGCAGTTAAAAGCTCTGTACCTCAGGGTACAGTCCTTCCACCACTGCTTTTCCTTATTCTCATATTAGATATAGACAAACATACAAGTCACAGCTTCGTATCATCCTTTGCAGATGACACAAAATTCAGCAAGAAAATTACCTCTGCTGAAGACATTGAAAAACTACAAGCAGATATTAATAAAGTCTTCGACTGGGCAGCAAAAAAATAATATGATGTTTAACAGTGATATATTTCAGGTACTTAGGTACGGTTAAAATGAGGACGTTAAACACAATACAGGGTACAAAACACAATCAAATCTGCCCATAGTAGGAAAACAGAATGTAAAGGATTTGGTAATAATTATGTCTGACGACCTAACGTTTAGGGAACATAACCAAGCAAATATTGCGTCAGCCAGAAAATTTATAAGATGGATTACGAGAACGTTCAAATCCAGGAATCCCATCACAATGGTTGTACTATTCATCACAATGGTTGTACTACTCAAATCGCTTGTACTGTCCCGTCTGAAGTACTGCTCAGTACTCACTTCCCTCTTCAGAGCAGGAGAGACTGCTGAAATAGAGGGAGAACAGAAAACATATACGGCATACATAGACGCGTTAAAGCACCTAAATTATTGGGATCGTCTCAAAGCTCTCCAAATGAGAGCTCTCTCTCACTAGAAAGCTCTCACTAGAAAGGACACGAGAGAGATATCAAATAATATACACATGGAAAATACTGGAGGCCCTGGTCCCAAATCTACACAGTGAAATAACAACGTGCTGGAGTGAACGATATGGAAGAAAATGCAGAATAGAACCAATGAAGAGTAGGGGTGCCATAGGCACAATTAGAGAATACTGTATAAACATAAGAGGTCCACGGCTGTTCAACATTCTCCCAGCGAGTATAAGACATATTGCCGGAACAGCCGTGGACATCTTCAAGAGAAAACAAGATAGTTTTCTTCAAGAAGTGCCGGACCGACCGGGCTGTGGTGGATATGTGGGGTCTGCGGGCCGCTCCAAGCAACAGCCTGTTGGACCAAGTATTCACAAGTCGAGGCGTGGCCTCGGGCCGGGCTTGGTGAGTAGAAGAATTCCCAGAACCCCCATCAAACAGGTATCACGTTAATTTGAACTCTTCCATGATTCTTCTCAAGGTCACATTCCTATAGGTATGAGCTCGCGTGCTTGCTCAGCAGGTGGAATTCTTCGAAGTTACATATTGATCGGTACTGCCACTTTGTGCAATTGCAGTTTCCTCTTAAATTAATGCACAACTCAAGTTTTCTTGACAGTGTCATTCTAATAAGAATCTCAGGCCGCCTTAATAACATGCTTAACATTCAGGTCCCTGATCCTGTTTTTAACACAAAGAAGGCAGTTTTTGTCTTAGATTCGATGTTTTAGCAATGTGATTGTGTTCGTTTGTGTCTACATCTGTCAGTTGTGTCCTGCTACCCTGTCTGTCACTGCCTGAGCCGGTGGCAACTGTACTCGGCTAGTTGTACTCACCTACTTGTGCTTGCGGGGGGATGAGCTTTGGCTCTTTGGTCCCGCCTCCCAACGTCAATCAACTGGTGTACAGATTATTGAGCCTACTGGGCTCTATCACATCTACATTTGACACTGTGTATAGAGTCTGCCTCCACCACATCACTGCTTAATGCATTCCATTTGTTAATTACTCTGACACTGAACAAATTCCTTCTAATGTCTCTGTGGTTCATTTGGGTACTAAGTTTCCATCTGTGTTCTCTTATTCGTATTCCACCCGTGCTAAATAGTTTGCCTTTGTCCACCCTGTCAATTCCCCTGAGAATTTTGTAGGTGGTTATCATGTCTTCCCTTACTCTTCTGTCTTCCAGGGACGTGAGGTTTAATTCCCTTTGCTTTTCCTCGTAGCTCATACCTCTCAGTTCTGGGACTAGTATGGTGGCATACATCTATATCTTGTCTAACTTTGCTTGTGTTTAACTAGGGATGGACTCCAGGCTGGAGCTGCATACTCCAGGATTGGCTTGACATAAGTGATATACAGGGTCCTGAACGATTCCTTACACAAGTTTCTAAAGGCAGTTCTTACGTTGGCCACTCTAGCACATGCCGCTGATGATATCCTTTTGATGTGGGCTTCTGGGGACAGGTTCGGTGTGATATAAACCCCCAGATCTTTCTCTCTATTTGACTCTTGCAGGATTTCACCTCCCAGATGGTACCTTGTGTTCAGCCTCCTGTTTCCTTCGCCTAATTTCATTATTTTACACTTTCCTGAGTTGAACTTTAATAGCCATTTTCTAGACCATTCCTCCAGATTGTCTAGGTCATCCTGTAGGGTGTCTTATCTCCATCTGTCTTCATTCTTCTCATAATTTGGGCATCATCAGTAAACATTGAGAGGACCGAGTCTCTTCCCTCTGGGAGATCGTTTACCCATATTTGAAACAGGATGGGTCCAAGTACAGAGCCCTGTAGGACTCCGCTAGTGACATCTCGCCACTCTGATGTCTCCTCCCTCGCAATTACTCGTTACTCGTTGTTTCCTGTTGGTAAGATACTCTTTTATCCACTAGAGCACCTTACCTTTTACTCCTGCCTGCTGCTCCTACTTTTGTAACAGCCTTTTATGGGGTACTGTGTTAAAGATTTGCTGACAGTCCAACAAAATGCAGTCTGCCCACCCTTCTCTTTCTTGCCATTTTTTTGCTTGACCATAGAATTCTATTAAGCCAGTGAGGCACGATTTACCATCTTTGAACCCATGCTGGTGGTGTGTTACAAAGCTGTTTCCCTCCAAATGTTCTACGAGCCTTTTCCTCACGACCCATAGGAAATGTAGATGTTTATCTCTCAGAAAGTTTGGTAATATGTTTATTGCTTGTGATGTGTGTCTATGTATGTATTAACACGATGTACTGAACGGGGTGAGAATAGCTTGAGCTACCTCATCCCTTTGTGTGTATTTTACATCAATAAACTTATTTCAATTCAATTTCCTCGCGATCTTCTCCATCACTTTGCATGGTATACAAGTTAGGGAAACTGGCCTATAGTTCAGTCCCTCTTGCCTGTCACCCTTTTTGTATATTGGGACTACATTAGCTGTATTCCAGTTTTCCGGTAGGTCTCCTGTTTCCAGTGACCTGTTATACACCATAGAGAGTGGCACGCTTGGTGCTTCTGCACCTTCTTTTCGTATCCCTGGTGAGATTCTATCAGGCCCAAAAGCCTTTGTCACATTCAGCTCCAACAGATTCCTTTTGACCTCATCACTGGTGAGGTCAAATTCCTCCAAGGTTGCTTTGTTTGCCTTCTCATTTAGTGCAGGGACTTCTCCTTATTATATTGTGAAGACCTCCTGAAATCTC